CATCTAATGGGGCTAATGTGGATGTTCTAAGGAGATATTATGGTAAAGTTCGGTTTACTTTTATAAACTCAATTCTATTTTTAAATTATGATTTGGTTGTAATATGTTAATTAAATATATTTTTAAAATATAACTCAAAATTATTTTGAAAATTTCTCTCTTCTTTTTTTATTTATTATTATTAATCAATCAATTAATTATTTTTTCTCTCTCATAACTGCTTTTTCCTCTCACATTCTCTCACATTCTATACACCAATTAATCAAAAAAATAAAAATAAAAAAATTACAAATCATCCCAAAACTATTTTTTCAAAACTCATAATCAAATAAATTTTCTCTTTTCAAATCATGATTTAAAAACTTAAAACTCAAAATACAACTCTACACTCAAATTATAATTATAAAACTAAACCAAATAGACCCTATTTGTCTTCACTACTTCAATTTTTTAATGTATCTCAATTAACCAAATAAAAATTTCAAAAGATATGAACTTAAAAATTTTACCATGAATCCTACTTAAAAAGTGTAATATAGATTGAAACTTGATATATTATGGTCATAATTTTAATAAATTTGGTCAATACAATTTAAATTTTAGATTTTTTTTTTTTTTGACATGTATTGTTGATGATAAAAATTTATCGTAAAGTGTACTCAAAAATAAAAATGGGATCCAATTTTATTCAACTAGTGTTGGCTAATGTATAATTACATGGGTATTTTAATGAACTAATTAAAATCTTGTGTTATCTTGTTGTCCTACTTTTTTTTATAGGTATGGCAAAATTCACTAAATGTTGGATTCACCACTAAGTACTTTCTTTTATGTTTTTTTTTTCCCTTTTCTTAACGAGAAGTTTTATTTGATAAGAGAGTCTCCACAATTATTATACGCTAAAGGAAAATGCCTCGTAACTCAATTTTTAGAGGTTCGAAACGGCTCGAAATGGAGAAAGAGGGAGAGAAGAGAGGAAACAGAGGAGAAAGAGGGAGAGAAGAGAGGAGGAAGGAAAGAAGCAAAGGAGAAGCAGAGCCTCGCCACCGCCGCCGCCGATCGTCGCAGCAGACCGTCGCCTCACCCAGCCCCGGTCGTCTGTCCAGCCCCGCCGACGTCACAGCACCACCGTCGTCTGCCAGCCCCGGTCGTCTGCCCAACCTCCCCTCCTCCTCCAACCGATTTTTATGGCCCCCTCCCCTCCTCCTCCGCCTCCTCCTCCTCCTCCTCCCTCTCCCTTCTCTTCTTCTCCCTTCTTCTTCTTCTTCTTCTTCTTCTTCTTCGTTCTGCAACAAAA